TGGCTGGTGGGTGGGGGGATGCGGGAAGGGTGTAACGTGCCGAAATAAAGGGGTGGGGGCGGAGGGGTGTGCCGTGCGAAATCAGAAGGGCCGGGGCGGAGGAGCGCGCTGGCTGGTGGGTGGTTGGGATGCGGAGGGGGTGTGCCGTGCCGAAATACAGGGGTCGGGGCGGAATGGTGTGCCATGCCGAAATAAAAGGGGTCGGGGCGGAGGGCGCGCTGGCTGGGGGGGGGATGCGGAGAGGGTGTGCCGTGCCGAAATACAAGGCGTCGGGGCGGAGGTTTGTGCCGTGCCGAAATAGAAAAAAGGGGTCGGGGCGGAGGGGGCGCGCGGGGGGGAAGGGGGGGGCCGTGCGAAATACTGGGGGTCGGGGCGGAGGGGGCGCGCGGGGGGGTGGGCGTGCTTTGAAATAAATGTGGCGGGGTGGATTAGTGTGGGGGGGGCGCGTGGCTGGTGGGTCGGGGGGCGCAGGCGAGGGACGCACGATGAAATACAAGGGTCTGGCGGAGGGGCGCGCTGGCTGGGGGTGGGGGGGGGTGCGGAGGGGGTTGTTGCGCCGTGCCGGAATATAACGGTTGCAGAGAGTTGTGCCGTTTGCCGAAATAAAAGGGGGCCGGGGCGGAGGTGGGCGCGCTGGCTGGTTGGGTGGCGTGGGTGAGGACGGGGGTGCGCTTCCGCGCCGAAATAACTTGTGTCGGGGCGGGGGGCGCGCTGGCTGAGTGGGGGGATGGCAGGGGGGGATGTGGATGGGTCTGTGGCGTGCCGAAGTATGGGTCGGGTGGAGGGGTGCTGCTATTCCGTGCCGGAAATAAAAAGGGGCCGGGGCGGAAAGGGCCCGCGAGGGGGTGCCGTGCCGAAATAAGAGGGGCCGGGGCGGAGGGGGCGCGCTGGCTGGTGGGTGGTGGGGATGCGGAGGGGGTGTGCCGTGCCGACATAAAAGGGGTCGGCGGAGGGGCGCGCTGGTTGGCGGGAGGGGAGATGCGGAGGCGGTGTGCCGTGCCGAAGTAAAAAAGGGTCGGGGCGGAATGGTGTGCCGTGCCGAAATAAACGAGGTCGGGGCGGAAGGGCGCGCTTGTTGGTCGGTGGGGGGGATGCGGAGGGGGTGTGCCGTGCCGAAATATAAAGGAGCCGGGGCGGAGGGGGCGCGCTGGCTGGTGGGTGGTGGGGATGCGGAGGGGGTGTGCCGTGCCGACATAAAAGGGGTCGGCGGAGGGGCGCGCTGGTTGGCGGGAGGGGAGATGCGGAGGCGGTGTGCCGTGCCGAAGTAAAAAAGGGTCGGGGCGGAATGGTGTGCCGTGCCGAAATAAACGAGGTCGGGGCGGAAGGGCGCGCTTGTTGGTCGGTGGGGGGGATGCGGAGGGGGTGTGCCGTGCCGAAATATAAAGGAGCCGGGGCGGAGGGGTGGCTATTGTGTCGAGAATAAAAAGGGGTTCGCGCGGACGGACGCTTTTTTTTTTTGAGTGTATTTTTTATTTTTTGTTGGTCTTTTGGTGTGGTGTGTGCCTGTGTAAATAAAAGGGGTCGGGGCAGGGAGGAGGTGTTGCCATGCCAGAAATAAAAGAGAAGTGAGGGCGGAGGGGGCGCGCGTGGGGAGCGTGGGGGGCGTCCGAAAAAAGGTTGTCGGAGGGCGGAGGGGGCGCGCTGGTGGTGGGTGGGGGGGATGCGGTGTGTGTGTGTGGGTGTGTAGTGTCTGCTGGACTGTGTGTGTGTCTGGGTTGCGTTTGTGTTGTGTGTGTGTGTGCCGTGCCGAAATAAAAATAAAGGAAAAAAACAAAAAAAAAAAAAAAAAAAAAAAAAAGGTCGGGGCAGAGGGGCGCGCTGGCTGGTGGGTGGGGGGATGCGGAGTCGGTGTGCCGTGCGGAAATAAAATGTTAGGGGCGGAGGGGCGTGCCGTGCCGATATAGAAGGGGTCGGGGCGGAGGGGTGCGCTGGCTGCTGGGTGGGGGGGATGCGGGGGGGGGGGCGTGCCGAAATAAAAGGGGTCGGGGCGGAGGGGTGCGCCGTGCCGAAATACAGGGGTCGGGGCGGAGGGGCGCGCTGGCTGGTGTGTGGGGGAGATGCGGGGGGGGGTGGATGGGGTGTGCTGTGCCGAAAAATATTAGGTTCGGGGCGGACGGGTGTGCCGTGCCGAAATACAGGGTTCGGGGCGGAGGGGCGCGCTGGCTGGTGGGAAGTGTGGGTGATGGAGGGGGTGCGGTGCCGAAGTAAAGTGGTCGGAGCTCTAGACGCCCTGCGCAAGAGAATCAAGTTGTCTCCTGTCGGATGCGTCATAGGTTGCGCCCTCGGCGGCCGAGAAGAATGCCGTCTCCTATCGGTTGCGCAATAGGTTGCGCCTTCGGCGGCCGAGAGTAAAACCGTCTCCGATCGGTAGCGCCATAGGTTGCGCCCTCGGCGGCCGAGGATCGAACCGTTTCTTATCGGTTGCGTCATAGGTTGCGCCCTCGGCGGCCGAGAATAAAACCGTCTCCTATCGGTTGCGCAATAGGTTGCGCCTTCGGCGGCCGAGAAAAATTGTCTCCAATCGGTTGCGCCATTGGTTGCGCCCTCGACGGCCGAGAATAAAACCGTTCCCTATCGTTTGCGCAATAGGTTGCGCCTTCGGCGGCCGAGAGTAAAATCGTCTCCGATCGGTTGCGCCCTCGGCGGCCGAGAATCGAACTGTTTCTTATCGGTTGCGACATAGGCTATGCCATAGGCTGCGCCCTCGGCGGCCGAGAATAAAACCGTCGGTTGCGCTGTAGGTTGCGCCCTCGGCGGCCGAGAGTAGAATTGTCTCCTATCGGTCGCGCTATAGGTTGCGCCCTCGGCGGCCGAGAGTGAAACCCGCGTCTATCGGTTTCGCCAGAGGTTGCGCCCTCGGCGGCCGACAATAAATCGTTCCCTGCCGGTTGCGCCATAGGTTGCGCCCTCGGCGGCCGAGAATGCGCAATAGGTTGCGCCTTCGGCGGCCAAGAATACAACCGTGTCCGATCGGTTGCACCATAGGTTGCGCCTTCGGCGGCCGAGAATAGGACCGTCTGCTATCGGTTGCTCCATAGGTTGCGCTTTCGGCGGCCGAGAATAAACCGTCTCGTATCGGTTGCGCAATAGGTTGCGCCTTCGGCGGCCGAAAATTAATATGTCTCCAATCGGTTGCGCTGTAGCTTGCGCGTTCGGCGGCTGAGAATAGGACCGTCTGCTATCGGTTGCGCCATAAGTTGCACCCTCGGCGGCCGAGGATAGGACCGTGTCCGATCGGTTGCGCCAGAGGTTGCGCCGTTGGCGGCCGAGAATAAAGCCGCCGCGCAACAGGTGCGATCAGTCTGACCAGTTCAGTTCAGCTCGGTCAGGTTAATTCGCGGGAAACAAATTCAGGATACGCCCGAAATAAATTCGGGTTGCGCCAAAAGCAACGCGAAGCAATGCGAAGCAATGAATGCAAATCAACCAACAGCAACACAATGCAATGCAAGCGGGCGGCGACGGGGCGGCGACGGCGCCGGCATAGCCGCCAGACCTCCAGACAGTCCCCGAGGACGGCGGCGACGGGGCAGCGACGGCGACGACATAGCCGCCGGACCAATAGCCAGGCCCAGTTCTTTCGGTCATAGGTAAGAGCCCCCAGTTGCCAGCACTGTTTTGGGGGGACCAAGGGGATGTTCGTAGCAAGGACTAGTGAGGAAGTCGGGAGGGGGCTCCAGGGGAGCGGCCGAGCACTGATGTGAGTATGTGGCCCTCTTGGTGCCACCAGCGGACCACCAGAAGGCTCGACGATGCAGAGAGAGATGGCGCGACGGGGCAGCCCAGGAGGGCCCAAGCAGGCCCAAGCAGGGCCGAAGCGCAGAGTCTGCCGCCGCGGAACAAAAAGGAAAGAGGTCTCTCCTCCGCCAGGGCCACTACCAGTGGAGCGACCAGCGCCAGTTCAGCGGCCAGTGGGCCACGAACCGCATGCACGGAAGGGGCACCTTCACCTGGGCCGACGGCCCAGTGCACGCCCGCTCCGGCGCTCTTCGCTGGTCGAGGTCGTTGGGGCGTTGATTTGTTTTTTAGCTCGGGGCCGACTCGTCGCCCTCAATCCCTGCGCTCCTTGAACAAAGTCCTCACCGCTTGCAGGGGCCGCCTAGCCGACCCCTCGCAAGCCATGCCCTTCCGTGACGTCCCCCACGCCTCGCCCCAAGACATGTGTATGCGGCCGGAGGGAAGCTTGAAAGGCGAGAGTGACGTCACGGCAGGGGATGGCTTACTAGGGGTCGGACGCACTTCCATCGAGGATGGCTCCCCCCATCGTCTGTCGCCGCATTGAGCCCAACAGTTTTTGGCCAGTCGAACGTGTCAACAAGTCAGGGATTGGGGTCTCCGTTCGTCTTGCTATCTACACCTTCATATGGGGGCTTGGGGGGCGCCTCTCATCGCCCGCCGCTGAATTCGCCTCGAAATCCCAGACATCCGATGTTGTGATTTTCGTCCATGCGGGGCACCTGGAAGTCCCGATTCCTTCCCCAGGGCGCCCGTTTCGCCCCGAGTCGTTGTCTTACAGCCCCAGGGCCCTGCGAGGGGCTCCAGAGGCCAGAAGCAGCCCACAGCCTGCCGTCGAGATTTTTCCACGACGTCAACGCGTATCCCTGGCCTTCCAGAGAGCTATTTTTTTAGCACGGGAGGCCTAAAAACCTAAACAACGCAACGAAGCAGCCTGAGACCAAGACATAGAATAGCTCGGGGATAGGTTTGTAAGTCGCGTGCTATTCTTTAGCCCTCCTGGAAGGTCAGGGATGGGATTCGGGGCCCGAGCGCGCCCGGGCCAGGCCCCGGGCCCCGACGTGTGCCTGCGGGAGGGCCCCAGGCCACCGAGCGTACACCGAGCTCGCGCCTCCGGTGCCGGGCCACCGGGTGCCGAGGGGGCGCCGGCAGAGCCAGCGGCCCGCGGCGCGAGCTCTCAGTGCTGACCAATTTGAAACATATCCCTATCCCTATGTTTGGCATCACCTCGCCTCGATGCCGATCGTAAGGATTCCCTCAGTGTCTGAGGGTCTATCCCTAAGAGTGCCCTCGCTTTTGGCTCGCCCATCTTAGGGATAGGGATCAGTTCGAGGCTGGTTAAGTGCGGAGGGAGCGGAGGGCGGGGTGCCTGCCGACGTTGCGGAAGTCTCTTGGCCGGCGGTCGCAGGTCACGGCGGTCCCAGGGCTGCACCAGCTGCAAGACATACACACACACACAGCGGAAGGCATGTTTGGTCCTGTTCGGCCTTTGCTAGGATCGCCGCGGGGGCTGCTAAGTGGACAGGGGGGGTACGAGTGGATGCCAAGGTGGGTTATATCTGGCCCACCCTGGCTTATAAGTGGGTTACAAGCTCCCCGGGGGGGGTAGATAACTCCGTTAAGTGGGCGGAGCCCACTTAGCCCGGATCGTTAACCCCTCTCAGCTATATGGAGCATTTGTAGCCCACTTGTAAGGTGGTTGGCCAGTGGTTCAAGGATGGCGATGCTCGGCGGCGAGCGGGGGGTTGGGAAGTGATAAGGAGAAGGCCTTCTCAGAAGGCGGCGGGGCTTCTAGCCCTCGCGCCTTTTCAGCAGTTTCCCTTGTCTCTTCGGAGGCTTGGGCACCTTCTCGGACGGCCAGGGGGACTTCCGAGCCTTCCGAAAAGGCCTCCCTTCTCCTTTTCACTCCCCCCCCGGGCTTGCCGTCGAGTTGCTGCTTACGAAGCATCGGAGGAAGGAGACACCCTCGCGCCATGAATTCGCCGGCCCAACGGGCCAGAGGCGTGCTAAGATCTCCGGTCACTGCTAAATAGTACTTCTACTTCGCGCGCGCGCGCGGGGCGGCCCCTGGGGGTCCCCGGACGAAAAGTACCCCGGGCGATCCCTGGCAGGGTCGGGTCAGAGATGGTTTTCCTCCTGGGCGCCGCCCCCGTGGCCCTCCAGAGAGCCTCAAGAAGGGCCACGAGGCCGCCAAGAGCCCTCCAAGATGGTTCAAGAGTGCTCCGAGATGCCACACGATCGTTCCAAGACGCCCACGATGGCCCCCAGACGCCCCAAGAGGCCTCCAAGAGCACTCCCCAGAGGGCCCCAAGAGGCAACATTCATTCCTTCGGTTTTGGGCAGATTTTGGCGTGTCCATCTTTTCGGCTTCCCGACGCCCCAAGACGGCCCAAGAGGCCCCCAAGATCGCCCCAAGAGGGCCCAAGAAGCTCCCAAGAAGGCCCCAAGATGGCCCAAGAGGGCTCCAAGACGGCCCCAGAGGCATCCAAGACGGCCCAAGAGGGGCCCAAGAGGGCCCCAAGCGATGCCCCAAAGGGGGAACACAAAACAAAACTTCGAGCCCTCGGCCTTAAGAAGCCCCCAGGAGGCCTCAAGAGGCCCCTGAGAGGCCCCAAAAGCCCCCAAGAGGCCCTCAGGAGGCCCCCAAGCGACGCTGAAGAGGCCCCGCAGCGGCCCCAAGAGGCTCAGTCATGCGAAATGGGCCGGCGGAGTGAGCGAAGCGATTCAATAAAACCACGGCGGCCGGCTTTTTTGCTACTTTCGGCCTCAGTGGGCCCTCGCTGGGCCCTGGGAGCGTCATAAAAAACGACTCGGTAGGAAAGTTCTGTCCCCGGGGAAGGAGCCAGGGTCCTGGGTGTCGACGTCATGCACAGTCGCGACGTCGTGTGTGTGTGTGTGTGGATGGAGAGGCGACGCCACCAGTCTGCGTCGAGCGAGGGGGGAAGTCAGAAGGAGAAGGCCTTCTCAAGAGTCTCGGAAGTCCCCCGTTCTTCTGCGAAGTTTTCTGAGCCTTCCCCAGAGAAAGCAAAACACCTTTCAGAAGGTGCAAGGGTTTCGGAGAAGTCCCGCCGTCTTCCTTGAATCAAGCAGTGGCGAAGCGTCCCGGCTCGCCTATAGCCCCACCAAACAATGTTCTAAGAACTTTCTGTGGTTTCCACGAAATGTTCTTAGAACATTTCTGGCTGGGACTGTCTCGTTTTGACACATCAGGCTTATGTTCTACGAACATTGTTTTTGTTCTTAGAACATTTTCGGGCTCTAAGAACATTTCGTGGTATGACTATAGGAATGCCTGGACGGTCGCTCCCTGCTCAATTGAAGGCAGTCTCCTTCTCACTTCCCACCCTTCGCTCGCCGCCGAACCAGGGGGGACCACCTCCACCGAGAGGGGCCCACGAGACCTCTCCGAGCTGGGGATGTGTGGGATGTCGCGAGCGGGCGGGAGCGGCCACACCACCTGCAGGACCCTTCCGGGCGCCTCTCGCTGGTGGCGGTGATGGCGATTTTCCTGGCTCCTTGGGAAGACCCTGGATTGATGGGCAAATTTTACAGTATCGCTACCAGATTTAGGACGGGGGAGAAGGGAGGATGAGGAGGTCCACCGCCTCCTCCTCCTCCTGCTCCTCCTCCTCCTCCTCCTTCCGTAGCCATTTTGGCTCAGGCCATTTTGGCGCAAGCGCCGCCGCTCGAGTGCCGGGAGCAGTCCTCGTGACGGGTTTCGGCCGCGCGAGCCAGTCGCGATCGCCGCGATGGCGCTTCTGGCCGAGGAAGTAGACGTCGAGGACCCCGTTAATGCGGGATGACGATTAATTAAAAAAATGGGGGGAACGATTAAAAAATTATCCCGGCAAAGCAACCTAACAGCCATGTGTAGGAGCATATCTGGAAGCATTCCCCTTAAGATTCGGATGAGAATCCAGTTGTAGAATTCTGCTGTTCTCGCAGTCGTTGTCGCATTCGCGAGGACAGTCGCAGTGGCAACGGCAGTCGCAGTCACAGCCTCAGCCTCAGCCTGCCTCAGCCTCAGCCTCAGCCTGCCTCAGCCTCAGCCTGCCTCAGCCTCAGCCTCAGCCTGCTTCAGCCTCAGCATCAGTCTGCCTTCGGCCTCGGCCTCAGCCTCAGCCTGCCTCAGCCTCAGCCTGCATCAGCCTCAGCCTCAGCCTCAGCCTGCCTCAGCATCAGCCTGCCTCAGCCTCAGCCTCAGCCTCAGCCTGCCTCTGCCTCAGCCTCAGCCTGCTTCAGCCTCAGCCTCAGTCTGCCGTCGGCCTCGGCCTCAGCCTCAGCCTGCCTCAGCCTCAGCCTGCATCAGCCTCAGCCTCAGCACGAAGCGACCCAGCTAGAAGGACAAAGCGCTGAATGTACACCGATGTGTTCGACGACTGCGTATGTAATGATGTGACGATATACAGACTGAGCCCTTCGTGAATGTCTACATGTTTTTCTGACGCCTACAAACGGCGCTGACGTGTGTGAGAAAATTGTCCGCGCAGCAAAAGCCGGCGAAGCGTGCGGGAGCTCGCATGCTGAGACAGACTACGTCTGCAGACCGCCAGCTGCAAAAAGTTGCGAGCGGCTCTTGGAAGATGTTTACGGAACGGAGCTACGGTGTCTGAAAACATTGGCATCGAAGGGAAGAGCCTCGGAGCCCTGCAACCTGAGAAACACCGCAGGAACTCGCATACTGAAAAGGAATGCATTGCAAACCGCACGCTGCGAACCCTGCAGGCTGAGAAGCACCGCAGGATGTCGCATGCTGAAAAGCACTTGTACTGCAGAGCGCTAGCATCTATCTCGGGCTCGGACCCCCCCGTCCTGATCCAGAACGTGTCCGGCCACGGCCTGAAAATGCCGTTCCAACTCCCGAGGATCAGCTGGCACTCCGGCTCTGGGACACTCCAGTACGTCTTGAGCACCTTGAGCCAGGCCCCATCTCGGGATCCCCACAGCACGCTGTACTTGACCGAGACCGTGCCGAACTCATAACAATTGACCTCCGAAGGACCTGCGAGTGCAGGCTGAGAAACACCACGCGATTGCAGGGCACGGCATTGCGTGTCACATGAGTGCAGGCTGAGAAGCACCACATCTCGTTTGCCAGAGATCACTCCCAGGTTATTTGATCCCGCAACACCAGCCACGGCGTAGCTGCCACAGGGGCCGCAGATAGCAACGGTTCGGTCACCCAATTGGCGTTCCGGTGAGTCACAATTCGCGCGTGGCTCCACGAGCCTGTGTAGCGCGATTTGCGGGGCACCAGTGTGCTGTAGGTGTTGTTGCCGTAGCAGAAGACGGCCTCTGGAGCCCAGTGCGGATTCCAGCGGACAGCGTAGACCCTGTGGACGCCATTGCGGATGACGTCGCGCGCACCTTCGATATGTGCCACCCATCGAAGCCAGTCAAATGCTGAGCCATCGGTGATGTCAACAGCACCTGGGGCAGTCTCGCCATGGTGGTAGTGCAACAGCGATTGGAGAGCGGCGCTGGCTTCGTCGCGGCCCACAATCTGGCGCGAGCAGGCTGCCTCTTGCAGGTGCTCCTGTGTGAAGAGCAGTGGGGCATCACCGCCAGTCTCGGCAGGCTGAGCAGCGCCACCGTCAGGCACGGCAGTCTGAGCAGCGCCGCCACGAGGAACATGAGGCTGAGCAGCGCCAGGCTCAGGCACGGCAGGCTGAGCAACGGCGCGTGGTGGACCGACATAGGTGGGCTCATCGGGTCGGCCGTTCTTATGGTAATGCAGGCGCATGGCTGAACCGTCTGCACGACGGAACTCGAAGAAGTGCCTGCCGTGGCCATCCGTGTTGGAGTAGTTAGGGTCGCGCTCTGTCTCGATGATGCGAAAGAGAACCTGGGCGATGCCCTGCCCGATTATGCGCTCAGCGAAACCCGGAGCGGCAGACCGAAGCAGTTGCTTCCAGTCGTAGGACGGGTCGTTTGTTACGTCTTTGAACGACAAGTTGTTGACAATGCACTCGGCGCGCAGCGCGCGCTGCCACTGGCAGGCGGTCTTGCCGCCCATCCCTGGTGTACGGCGGATGTCTTCGAGGTGAGCCTGCTCAAAGACCACGTCGACACCTGGCTGAGGAGTCGGTGCGGGCGGATCCGGCAGAATCTCCCACGGGCCATCGCACGGGGCCGGGGGTGGCGGGGGCGATGCCTTGCCGCGTGCTGGCATTGTGACAAGGCAGGCTGAGGAGCACCGCCGCGGCTGGACGGCCAGGTGAAACTCGAGCAAACATGGTTAAGGATGATGATGATGGTGTTGATAGGAAACCCGGTATCAGCGAGTTGATGTACAATGAGGTGTCCGCAAACGAGACACTGCTGTCAACGCTGTTATAACTAACCACAAACGAGACACTGCTATCAACGCTTGCACAATTAAAAAGAAACGCTGGCATTGACACTACTAGCAATACCAAAGTGGAGTTTAAACGAGGCACTGCCATCAACCGATTCAACTTCCAATGAAAGAAGATCACAAATGAGTTCACTCTGAAGTGACCCATGGGTATCAATGCGAGAAGTCTCTGCAAACTATTCACTCATGGCGACCGCCGCGCACACGCGTGTAGGAAATCGTTGATGATGATAGTGATAATGGAGTGGGGGCCAGTAATGCAGATACACTGCTGTGCATTCACTTGCTGCGAAAAGAAACTCTGTATGAATGAGTTGATATATAATGAGTTGTCCACAAACGAGACACTGCTATCAACGCTTGTATAAGTAAAAAGAAACGCTGCTATCGACACTTCCCCCAATACTAAAGTTGTCTTTAAACGAGTCACTGCCATGAACGGCTTCAACTACAGTGTAACGAAAGGAACTGCAGGCTGAGAAGCACCGCAGGCCAACGTGAACCAGTCGTGGTGATGAGGATGAGTGAAATCTGCGATGATGATAGCGATCATGAAGTCGGTTGTAGGAACCCACTTTTGTAGTAACCAACATACACTGGTATGCATTCACTTATGGTGAAAGGAAACTCGGTATCAGTGAGTTGATATAGAATGAGTTGTCCGCAAACGAGACACTGCTATCAACGCTTTTAGAACGAAGCGAACCCATCAGAACACTGTTATCAACGGAAAGAATGCTGTAGAAGGACAAAGCGCTGAATGTACACCGATGTGTTCGACGACTGCGTATGTAATGATGTGACGATATACAGACTGAGCCCTTCGTGAATGTCTACATGTTTTTCTGACGCCTACAAACGGCGCTGACGTGTGTGAGAAAATTGTCCGCGCAGCAAAAGCCGGCGAAGCGTGCAGACAGCCAGCTGCAAAAGGTTGCGAGCGGCTCTTGGAAGACGTTTACGGAACGGAGCTACGGTGTCTGAAAACATTGGCATCGAAGCGAAGAGCCTCGGAGCCCTGCAGCCTGAGAAACACCGCAGGAACTCGCATACTGAAAAGGAATGCATTGCAAACCGCACGTTGCGAACCCTGCAGGCTGAGAAGCACCGCAGGATGTCGCATGCTGAAAAGCACTTGTACTGCAGAGCGCAGGCTGCGAAACCTGCAGGCTGAGAAGCACCGCAGGAACTCGCATGCTTTCGAACACTACTGCTCGAGACCGCAGCTGGAGAGCGGCAGACCGCAGGCTGAGAAGCACCGCGGGCAGAGAGACTTGCAAAACTCAGATGTCCTGATCGTCTTGGAGGAAGTCACGCCAGTCCGGCGGCTGCCAAGAATCGATGATGCGCCTGGAGCCACCGCCCGTGCTGCCGCCGATGTCCAGGTAGTCGCCATCGCCCCTGAACAGACGGCCGTGCCCGCGCGCCAGAATCGCTTGGTTGCGGATTTGAAGCAGCGCTCCGCTCTCAAACATCTGCAACACGTCCAGCTGCCTGCGCGTGAAGTTCGGCTTTGCCTGGCCAGCCTGGGCAGACAGATGGAGGGAAAGCCGCTCCCCCTCGTTGTAGCGCGCGATGGCCTCGGCCTTCTGGTGGTGCAGCCGGCGCCGCTGTTGCCGCAGAGCTTCCTCGGGAACTGCTGCATCACGGCCCTCACTGTGATCAGCTTGCAACGCTTGCGTTAACCAATCAACGTCGAAGCGCCCTGAGAAGGCCAGCACCTCCCAGATCTGTTTGGTACCGGCCACACGTTGCAAATGGCGATGCCACCGCTTACGCTTCTGGTCTTTCACAAACTTGGCGACGCTACCCAGACCTGCACCCTTGGCCTGGCCACCTTTTCCCGCAGGCTGAGAAGCACCGTGAGAACCTTTCTTACCGCCTGGCCCTTTGTTCGGACCCTGCGGAACCGCATGGCCCCCTTGTGGCGCAGACTTGCCTTTCGCTTTTCCCTTTTCGATATCCCGTTCCTGAAGCGCACGCTGCTGCCGCGACTGCTCGTACTGGTCGCGAGCTACTCTGACCAATTCCTGGCGCTCAGGCTCCGTGAGAACGTAGCGCATGTCGTCGATGTTCTTGCTCCGCAGAAAGTCATGTCGAAGCTTAAGGACAGAGAGAATGGCTCGGCCAGTCTCCTCCTGAGACGCAAAGGCCGTGTCATATTCCGAGCCAGGCTGAGGAGCGCCAGCTGGATCAGTGTCCGCTGGCTCCGTGGACTTCCTCTTTTTGAAAAGCAAGAGACTGAGATGATGGAGGACTTTCGGATCGTACTCCTCGTCGTACCTGTCGTCCCAAAGCTGCCTCAGCTCCCTGTGCAAGTCGTCCGCGCGATTCTGAACGACATCCTCGACGTAGTCGGGATCACCCGGTGAAGTCGGTGAAAGCGGAGGAGCAGAACTCGGCGACCGATCCCAATGCACAGAAGACTCGCGGTCCGCCTGTACGCTGACGTCGGCGTCGGAGACGTTTTCGACGACAATTTTCCGCCTCTTGCTCTCCCCAGGCTGAATAGCACCAGGGAGAGTGAGCACAACCGCCACCGCATCGTGTGCGTCGTTGCGCATGCCACGATCCGTAAAAGACGCGCCAACGGCAATGGAGCAGAAACGGGCGACTGCTCCGCAGACCGCGACGTGGTCGCCTTTGAGGTCGGCCGGAGTGGCATGGACCTCCCATACCTTCTCGTCGTTCTGCTCGCGCTGGTAAGCCTCCCGCGCCTCCTGGAAAGTGAGGTTGTCGTCGCCGACTACAAGCACAACGACTGCCTCGTTTAGATTCTCAAGAATCTTGGCCAGGCCGTCCAGGTGCAAGCGGAGATGGCGAACTGTCCGCTTTCGAGTCTGGATGCTCGGCGGTTTCTTGCCGCACACGATGTGCATGTTGGCGATCACCACGTGGAACTTGTCATGGCCTGGTTTGTTCACCTCAAAATGTGAAATAACAGCATCAATATCTCGGCCGCTAGGAGGCCTGTAAACTTTGCTGTCTTCGCACAGAGTCAGTTCCGCAGGCTGAGAAGCACCGCGGAACCCCCAGAGAGTCAAGTAGTTGTCGACCTCCAAGAAGCGAATGCCATCACCGAAAGGCTTACTGAGGATCTCTGTCACGTTGATCCCTGCTCGGCGAAAGCCTTCACGGAACGCACCGACCTCGCAGCCACAGACCATATCAGCATCAGCGGTCTCCACTATCTTGGCGCACAACCTTCCGAAGTTAGCGCAGTGAGTGGCCGCCTGCTTACCAGTCATCATGCCCTGCTCGAACCCGAAATTGAACGAGGCGACCGTGAAAGACGCAGGCTGCACAGCGCCAGAACCAGGCGTCTGTCCACCTTCCTCCGCAGGCTGAGAAGCACCGCGAGGCGGCGCAGGCTGAGAAGCACCGCGAGGCGGCGACACTTCGGACGAGCCTCGCGGAGCAGAGGCTGCGGATGAACGTTGGACATGGGGGTACGGCCAGGGGAACGCCATTGCAATCAAAACTCAGTGGACTGCAGTGAATGAATGTAGTGGCCAATTGAATGCAGAGGACTGCAGTGTCACTAGCAAGTCCTGAACCAAACACAGCTGTGGCGGAAGGAATATGAAGCGTCTGGCTATTCAAAATGTTGCCCGGCAATGGAGTTCTGGGAACTCGAAGACCAGGAAGTGGACTAGAGTTGGCTCTGGGCATCCAAAATGTAGCCCAGGAATGGAGTTCTGGGAACTCGAAGAGCACGAAGTGGCTTACAGTTGGCTCCGGGCATCCAAAATGTGGCCCGGGAATGGAGTTCTGGGAAATGGAAGAACACGAAGTGGCCTACAGTTGGCTCCGGGCATCCAGAATGTGGCCCGGGAATGGCGTTCTGGGATGTCGAAGAGCACGAAGTGGCCTACAGTTGCATCCGGCCCCCCAGAATGTGGCCCGGGAATGGCGTTCTGGGATGTCGAAGAGCACGAAGTGGCCTACAGTTGCATCCGGCCCCCCAGAATGTGGCCTGGGAATGGAGTTCTGGGAAGGCGAAGAGCACGAAGTGTGTGACTGTTGGTGAAAAACGAGCCCGGCTCATGCCGCCCGGAAACGCCCCAACACCTGCCCGGACCCCCCTGTGGAGTGATCTGTGAGCTCTTTTGAGACCACTAGAAACCTATCAGTCTTCGCTGTTAGGTAAATAGTTTCATATTATTTCTGCACAGTGTTCTGACTGGAGGAGAACGATGAAAAGAAATAGTTTTCCAGCCCGCAGCCGGCTTTTTCTAATCGTCATCCTGGGCGCCGCCGCGTGAACACGACCCCCGGTCATTTATTAATCGTCATCCTCCATTACCTGCGTCAAGGGGACCCTCGTGGACGAGTGGGCCGCAGCGCTCTTGGGCAACGGCTGCCTGGAAGCCCCGCGGAAGGCCACCGGGGACTTCGGCGTTCCGCCCGAGGCCGAGGGCCCGGCCTCCGCGCGGCGCCTCTCGCGCCGCACGGTGACCTGCGTCGTGTCAGGCGGCGCGGCTGTGGTACTTTGTGGACTGGCGCTGGTCGCCATTGCCGTCTTCTGGACCGAAGGCCAATCGCTGGCGAGGGCCAAGAGTGAGAGCAGCCTCCTGGAGCTGGAGCAACGCATCAGAGCTACTTCGAAGGGAAGGCTGCCCAAGATACGGGACATCAGAGAGCACCCGTACAAGGCGGACAAGTTGCGGAAGGAGATACAGGGGAAGTGGTGCGAGGCCGTGCAGCTGGATCCCCATTATGGTGTCATCGACTTCTCGGACATCTGCCCCGAGGACGAGATGGATATCTCGACCGACAACATTTCCCTTCAGGCAAATGAGACGATTCCCACGGTGAGCAACGAGCTGAACCAGAAGCAACTTGGTGCAGTGCGGAATTATTTGCTGTATCATTCTTTCCCGAGCGACAACCTGAGGAATTGGGGAGCCCTGAGGGCCTTGGAGGACCTGGCTAAGTTCCGCGCGCAGGACATCCTCGCGTTCCGCGAGACCTGGTCAGACGCAGACACCGAGCTGCTCCGCAAGCTTGACCCGATGGCTTGGGCGTGGACCTCGGGCAACCTCACCACCGAGGGGTTCCGGCAGAGGCTGCCGAGCGTGAAGGACTTCCGCGCCGTGGTGAAGGACGGCCTGTCGATCGTCGGCGGCGCAGACAGTCTCTCCGGGGCGGGCCTGGGCCCGGAGATCGACGCGCACCAGACGGTCGCTCGCTTCAACGAGATCGTCGGCAACAAGTTGGTCCCCGAGGAGACCGGCCTAAAAACCACGATCCACATCGCCAACTCCAAGGTGGCACCCGTTGGCGACCCCAACGTAGCCGAATTCGACATGGAGACCGACACGGTGTGGCGCACGTATTGTGGACGCATGCACACATTCGGTGAGTTCGCCGACGTCACCGATAAGCCGTTCATGATCAGGCCCAGCGCCCACTGCACGCTCAGCAAGCACGGCGCGAAGAAGTGGACGAGGGGCTTCTTGTTCTATTGGTTCATCGGGCGGCTTTTCAAGAGCGTCGACATGTACGGCTTCAGCGGCACCGGCCACTATCACAACACCAATCCGATCTACGAGCAGTACCTGGAATTCGAGCACCTCTTCTATCGGCTGAACGGCCTCGTTATGGACGCGGATGTCGATGCATAACTAGCCACGTAGCTGCACAACCTTTGGCTGCACTTCGGGCTCCTCCTCCTCCTCCTCCTTCTCCTCCTCCTCCTCCTCCTCCTCCTCTGCCTCCTCCTCCTCCACTTCCACCCTCTCCTCCTCCTTATCCGCCTCCTCCTCCTCCTCCTCCTCCTCCTCCGCCTCCGCCTCCTCCTCCGCCTCCTCCTCCTCCTCCTCCTCGTCCTCCTCCTCCTCCTCCTCCTCCTCCTCCTCCTCCTCCTCCTCCTCCTGGTCTGATCCATGGCCCCAGAGTGTTTTGTTCTTCGTGCAGGAAGGCTGTCGAGCTTCTCGCCCCCGCCCCAGGGCCAGTTGTGCATTCCTAGGGAGGGCGAGACCTCGTCCGAGCTCTGGGCGCTGCAACTCTGTAGAATTTGCCATTCAGCCTGGTCAGTTCGAGATGGTCCACTCAGAGTCCACTCTCGTGCCCTTTGCTCCACAAGTGAGCACTGTCCGTTCATCGCTGTCTTCTGGCGGTCCCAGGGCTCAGCAGCGGCCCCTGGTGGCTCGAAACCTCTGGCGCGATCTGCTCGAGTCGCTGGAGGTCCAGGTCGGCGGCGAGCGAGGAGGAGGAGGAGGAGGAGGAGGAGGAGGAGGAAGAGGAGGAGGAGGAGTTGGAGGAGGAGTTGGAGGAGGAGGAGGAGGAGGAGAGGAGGGGGAGGAGGAGGAGTTGGAGGGGGAGGGGGGGGGGAGGAGGAAGCGGTGGAGGAGGAGGAGGAAGGAGGAGGAGGAGGAGGAGGAAAGGAGGGGAAGTGAGAGGGGGCGGGCCTCCTCAGAAGGCCCGTAAGTCCCGTGGGCTTATGAGAGAAGTTTCCCGAGCCGTCCCCGAAGACAGACAAACAACTTCTCAGACGGCGCAAATGGCTTGTGAGAAGTCCGCCGCATTCTGAGAAGGTCTTCTCCTTCTGACCTCGCTCCCTCCCTCCCGTTTCCCCCATCCCCTCCACCACCCTCCCCCTCCCCCATCTCCTCCTCCTCCTCCTCCTCCTCCTCCTCCTCCTCCTCTTCTCCTCTTTCTCCTCCTTATCCTCTTTCTCCTCCTTCTCCTTCTCCTCCTCCTCCCCTCCTCCTCCTCCTCCTCCTCCTCCTCCTCCTCCTCCTCCTCCTCCTCCTCCTCCTCCTCCTCTCCCCTCCCCCTCCTCCTCCCCCTGCTTCTCCTCCCTCCTCCCTTCCTCCTCCCCCCTCCTCGCTCGCCGCCGACCAGGGGGGCGGGGGGAAGTCTGTCGATCTCCACGGCCTCTCGAGGTCCGGGATCGGGGGGCGCGGCCTTCCCGACATGCAGGTCGGCTCTGCGCTGCTGCGCCGCGGGATCGCGCGGGATCGCAAGATCGCGCGGGCTCGCGCCTCGGTGTCCGGGGCTCGGGCCCGTCCCTCTACAGGAGGACCAGCCCCAAATAGTTCAGAAATAGTTCGGAGGCGATGTTTCTTTTTTGTTGTTGATATGTTCTGACTGTTCTTTATTTCTCTTCCGGCATCCGACTGTAGAAGATCTGTTGCAGTGGCGACCCACGCCAAGAAACACCCTGCTTGCCTCCAGGGTGCCCCTGGGTTTCTGGTGTTTCGATGGTTTTGCGCTGGAGAGCGTGACGCTCCCACATCAAGAATCGATAGACGTCCTGGGGTCTCAGGGCTGGGTTTCTTGTGGAAGGTTTCCTGTGGACTGGCCTCCGCTGTATGGAGATCTATTGGTCTCGTCTCTTGTGGCGTCGAGAGCTCCTGGGGCCAGCGGCTCAAAGACGAAGGGGCGGGGCCAGCCAGCTCTTAAACTACAGGCTTGCTCTGCGCAGATGCCCCGCGCGGCGCGCCCAGGCCACGGGCGCACGGATGCCCTGGCATCCAGCGCCTCGATGTGGTTCGCCTCGGTGTTGTTCGTCACCTCCCACCAAACCACCCCAACCCAACCCGAAGGCCTCAATTTGCCCTCCATTTCCAGTGTGGGGGGGGGTCGGGGAACATTGAAAAAACACATGGAACCCGTACCCCCCCAATCCGAAATTCGGGTCAAATTCGGGTCTTTTGGTTGGGTTGGGGTGGTCTGGTAGGTAGTCAGTTCGAGACATCCAGCTCTCGATCTTTCTCCTTGGGTCGTTTTCTGACGGCCCCGAGGTCCTGCATGGGGCCCCAATAGGGCCAACAACGATGAAGCACGGCCGCCTGATTTTTCCGAGACGGCGGAGCTTTTGGGAATGGGCACGATTCATTGCGAAGGCTCTACGGCTGGTGCCGCCGACCCTGAAGAGGGACGACGACGACGACGACGACGACGACGACGACGACGACGACGACGACGACGACGACGACGACGACGGACACGACGACGACGACGACGACATTTCGAGACGCTGGATTTCTGGGAATGGGCACGACGAGTTCTCTCGCCGCCCGTGGGGGCGAGAGCTCTGGGGGCCGGCGCGGCTCGGAGCACAGAGGGGTCGGGGCCGGTCGGAAGCCCGCGGGGCCCCGGTCGGTACAGAGGTCGACGGCCGCTCCTACGAGGGCGAGTACCTGAACGACCAGAAGCACGGCCCGCGGGGTACTGTAATTTGGAGTTGGCTGGGGGCCTCTCCTCATCCTCCTCCTCCTCTTCCTCCTCCTCCTCGTCCTCCTCCTCCTCCTCTTCCTCCTTGTCTTCACCCGCTTTCTCCTGCCCCTCCGTCCTCCTCCTCCTCCTGCTCCTCCGGCTCCTCCTCCTCCTGCTCCTCCTTCTCTTCCTCCTCCTCCTCCTCTTCCTTCTCCTCCTCCTCGTCGTGTTGGCTGCTACGGTGTTTGGCTCTTTCGAATATGTCAAAGATGGGGATGATGAGTCAGGCCGAGGTCGAGGCGGAGTTGCTACGATTGTGCCACTTTCGTTGACTTCATCGCGTACTTCGTCGTCCACACCGCTCGTCAGGGGCAGAATCCTGCGAACAATTTTGGTGGGCGCTCGTGCTGAGATTCGTCATTACAATATTCACAATCATGGTCTCTCTGTGGTTGAAGTGCAGAAGGTGGTCAGAGCTACTAAGGCTGACATGCTTTGAGCATCCCTCGATCACAGCTCAAGGCTGCTTGTTGCATACGGCGACCTCAACTTTGCTGCGCATGACGCGCTCCACCTGGCGCAACCGACAGCAGCAAAGTCACGCAAGGTCACAAATGACGCTCGCTCGCGTGCTAGGCTTTGGTCTTCGGTGTTTGATCATATGTTGGAGATAGCGTCCGAAGATCCGACTCACTACTGCCATGACACGAAGGCCGTTTCGCAGATCGATCGGCTCTGGCTCTCCGAACCGAACTGGATGTCATGCCAACTCCAGCACTCCGTGTCGGTAGTATCCACGCCTGAAGAGATGCATGACAAAGAGCTATCGGATCAGGCGGCAATTCGTGTTCATATTCGGCATCGAGATCTGGATGGCTGCTATCGCAAACCAGTCCCTGCTCATATTGCGATGGGTGCGGTGCGTTTTCGAGCTAGCGGGTATGCAGGCTGGTCCTGCCGTGCGAGGGCGTGCCCTCGAACCCCACCGCGGAGTATCGCCGCTCGCTCCTGCGCCGATGCAGGCACACCAGCACACTTATAAGGTGAAGCTAGCCCTGGGTGAGGCGTGTCGCTCACTCTTGCAGTGTAAGCGGGACGCCTTCTGGGAGAGGGCATTGGACTGAACGGGGGGCGGGTGTTGAGGCACCTCCTCAGTGTGCCCGCCCGCCCATCGCTTCTCTCTGACGGCTAGTTGTGGCAAGGAGTGGCAGGTTGGTTCCAGCAGCAAACACCTCCGCCTCCTCCTCTGCCTCCTCCTCCTCCTCCTCCTCCTCCGCCTCCGCCTCCTCCTCCGCCTCCTCCTCCTCCCTCTTGCTCCGCTCCTTGTGGCCAGGCGGGGCGAGCACACTCTGCCTCCCTTGTTGGCCAGCAGGCCCGGCTGGGGGCCAGATGGGGGTCTGAGGTGGCCAAGCGCTGGTGCCAGCCAGCACGCCAGCAGGAGGGGGCGGGCAAGTTCGGGGCGCTGGCTTCGGCAATGTTTGTTTCGCCGTGATCGGTCTCCGGGGGCCGCCTTCGGGGCCCGAGACTGTCAAAACCACAGGATCCGGGGTGAAAAGCTGCACCAGATGGACCCCAGGAGGGGCACGCGGACCGATGTTGAGCGGATTTTGCCTTCATCCCCCCCTTCCTTTACCGACTCTCAGGGCCCAGCCAGCTCTGAGCCCCTGGCCGCCTCCAAGCGGCGTCGCCGCCATCGCCCGAGGAGGGACAAAATAGACACAGCCACACATGAGCGTCAGTTCCCAGGACAGCATGGGGCAACATGGGAAGTGGAGGGGAAGACGAACATCCAGAACAGATAGAGCACCATGTCTAGGGGAACAACAAGTGGCATAAACATAAAAACTCAGAGGTCCGCGCTTATTATTCGGATCGTTGCTGGACCCCCCTCCCTGGCGCGCGGAGCGCGCCAGGGGCGGCGCCGGGGGCGCCGCCGGGGGGCCCCAGCGCCGATCCGAGAAATCCGCGCGGACCTCTGAGTTGTTATGTTTATGTCACTTTTTGTTCCCCTAATGGTGCATCACTGACTCGCCGCCCTGGCCGCTCCACGGCGACGCACCCCGCCATGGGAGTGCCCTCCAGCCCCTCCCTCCCCCCTCGCGGCCGCTTTCACCTGTCTCCGCCTCCTCCTCCTCCTCCTCCTACTCCTGCCGCCGGTTCAGTTGCGCATTCCCTTGCCCGGACCACTTGAGCGGGTGTGCGGACTGCCTCTGCCGCGTGCGTGCGTGCGTGCGTGCGTGCGTGCGTGCGTGTGTGTGTGTGTGTGTGTGTGTGCGTGTGTGTCCTTGGGCCCTGGCTGTCGAGGGCGTCTTTGCTTGGGGACGCGCTGGGCGCTTCCCTGGGGGTCCTCGTCGCCCCGGCTGGGCGCGGCTCGCAGAGCTGGCCAGGACAGAACCAAACGGGTGGCCTCGCGGGTAGGGTGGGGGCGGCCGGGCGCACACGGGTAATTACGCGGCCAGATTCGGGGCCCAAAGGACGGGAGTCAGTCAGGGTGCCGGATCTTGCAGGAACCTGCAGAGGCAGGATCCTGCAGAGGCAGGATCATGCAAAGCCTGTCTGGCCCGGGTCTGGATTGTCCCGGGTCAGTAGGTCCCCGACAGAGGTGCAATCGTTCATTCATCTCGGCGGAGGCAAAGGTCCCCACACCGCTAATTGCCTTTCCCCCATTTTCCCCTGCCTGGGCTTTCTGGGAGGCCTTCGTCGCCACGGTTGGATTCGCTTCGGAAGTCTGGCCAAAACGCACCCCAGGGGAGATCCAGGGAGTAGCTACATCGGTAGTTTTTGGTTTCCCCGTGATCGCGCCCGATTGCTGCGGGGGGCGACGCGGGCCTATTACACGGGTGACATCGGTTGCAGGTGAAAAGCGAAACATGTTTATACCCACGCGCAACAACTGCACCCGGCGCGCAAACTATTGCACCCCGGCGCCAACGATTGCAAGTGTCAGTGCGCCTCTGCCCGCAGACCCATCTGCGCCAGACCCATCTAGTCTCACCGAACGCGTTTCACTATTCGCAAAGTGCCTCCGCAAGCGTCCGAAACAGACTTGTTTGTTTCGATGGGTTTGTTCGTAGTTCCCCCGCGGTGGACCCAGGCCATTTGCGAGTAACCGCATGATCCGGATACAAATGTATCCCTTTCACCCCTGAGTAGCTACGATCCCGTGTCAATTTGCCAATCAGATGTAATTGTGGAGAGGGGCGGCGAGGCCGAACTTGATAATCCCTGGGGGAAGTTGCGAATCGATGTTGCTATCATCTTATGTTGACTAGCAACAGCATCAAACACGCTGAGCATGGCAATGGTGGTCTCACCATATCAGTTTTCGCAATCACGAGCGCGTGGCAGGGCAAGGCCAAGTCCAAGCAAACCAAGAGCAAGGCCAAGTCCAAGCCCTTCAAGGACCCCACGACGGTCGAGCCGAACCACTTCACCTTCGAGGAGGCAAACGCTGCTGCCCAGGCCTGCACCAAGTGCTTCCCGTGCAAAGACGGCTCCAAAGAGTGCCGATCCTGCATGGGCGAGTGGTTCGAGGTCGTGCGCAAGAGAGGTTTCTTGGCCAGGAGCGCCAAGGACTTTTCTTGCGATGGCAAGTTGTAGCCAAGAGTTTCGAGATCTCTCAAGTCAGTCTTGTGCCAAGATCTTCTAGGTCAGTCTACACGAGCGCCCAGCATCATCATCATCATCACCATCATCATCATCATCCTTCGTTAGCAAGATCGTTGATTATGCCCCGAACTTCGTTAACCCCCGGGAATTATTTTCGGGGGCACAACGTTCGTGACTTTGCGAGTAGTGGAACGCGCTCGTAGATACTCCAGCTCACGGAACGACAGGGGAGGATTCGCTCAGGTGCGGGGGGCATCAAGCTTGAACCTGCGATGCATCGCCGATCGATCGGCGATAGGCCCTCGACAGTGAAACTGCGCTGGACGTGGAGATCCGATTCCGACCCGACTCGGACGATCCGTTGGCGATCCGATCCGTTCCCGATCCGGTTTGATCTCGCGATTCGATTCAGCTCAGACCTGCCCACCGGGATTATCGCGGGGGGCGTTCAGGGGATAGGGGGTTAATGCGGCGGCGGCCCTCGCCGGGCCCTTCGGCCGTGGAAACGTTGTTCGGGATGCAAAACGGGCGTCGGGGAGTATAGGGATCGACTTTGTGAGCCAATCATGACGTCGGGGGTCTGGGGATCGAGGCCCCGCCCTTTCGCGTCGACCAGCGAATCGCCATTCTTCGTTTCGAAGGGGCGGTGCGGCCGCAGCCTTTGCGGGCCCGCGCCTGGCAAACCGTTGACTGCAGGTCGTCGTTTCCAGAGGATGTGTGTTCGTTGCCAGAGGGGTCTCCCTCCGACAATTCTGAACAGGCTTCGCGCAGCGCGTGTGCGGCACGAGCGGGGGCGGGGGGTGGCGTGGAGCTGGCCAGCCAGCCCCGGCGGCGCGAAGACGAGCGCCACACGAGGCTCCCTCATCCCCGCCGTCCCCGCTCCGTCTTCTGACGGGCGCACGGGTTGTGAAGATAGTTACAGTCAACGCGCACAGCAAGGATGATTTTTTTTCCCAAGGTTGCCCTTGCACCCTTCCACTTCGGCCCATTCTTGGCTACTTTCGCTGGCCGCGCCCCGCTCGAAGAGTGTCGACATAGCCGTCCAAGGCCTTTGCGCTCCTATTGTGCATCCTTATGATATGGGTTGAGTGTAGTCGCGCATGCCGGCTCTCGCCAGGCAGTGGCGAAGTGTCCTGGCCGCAGGCGAGTGTTCTAATAGCCACTTTTGGTTTGTTCGGTAGCAAATCTTAGCGTGCCTCGTATGCCTTCTTGCTTTCGTATTTAGCGTCGATTAGTGTGGATTCGAGTCGATTTGCGTCGAATAGTCTCGATTCAGCGTCGACTGGCGTCGATTAGCGTCGATTCGCAAGATCCAGCAACATGAGACGGGGGTCCCCCATGAGTTGCGTCCGATGGCTTGCACAGCGTTTTATTCGACATCTGTGTTGGCTGAGATAGTCTAAGTTTAATGCATTGGCGCATGTTCTAAGATCATTGCTTTTAGACTTGGAAGCGTGCGTGTGTGAGAAGAACACGTCGTGGCATGCAGGCCTGTAGGAGTGCCGAGATGGTCGGTCCCTGCTCAGAGATGAGTGAGGCGAAGGAGGGAAGAGCTGGGAGAGGAGGAGTAGGAGGAGGGTAGGGTGGGGAGGATATCGCATCTTGCTCGTCTTGGGCCGGTGCTCGCGGTCGGCTTCGCAGCGGGCCCTGCTTGGGATGGCGGCGAGCGCCACATGCTCGACAGGCCCACCCTTTTTGTTGAGCCCTCCTCGGCCCTGTTCTCCCTTCTGGCGGGAGTGGGGACCCTCCTCCGTCCCTCCCTCCTGCTCCTCCGATGTCGGAGCGTGAGGCGCCGAGTGTTTCCGCCCAGGCCGGAGCGTGCTGGGGGGTCGCGGCAGAGCCCGCGACCCTGGGCCCTCGGCAGGCCCCCCAGGCTTCCCCGCAGGGGGGCCTGTGCTGAGGGCGGTGCCGCCGCGTGCCGAGCGCGCCAGCCGGTTGCAAGGTGTTTGGGGTCGCTGCAGGGCCCCGCAGATGTCAGCAGATCGGCGGTGCTGGTCGTCGAGAGGTGGTAGGGCAGATCAGAGGTCCACGAGCTGCACCGGTGTCGGTATCCTCGCTCATCTCTCCCCCTCCTCCTCCTCCTCGGATCAAGTGGCATCGTCAGTAGTATCGTCAGGTCGAGGCGCGGGCCGCATTCGTGCGGCCGAGTACTGCTGTTAAAGTTGGAGCCGCCCCTCCTTCATGGCCCACGTGAGCTGGGGCACGACAGGCGGTTTTGAGGACTGCCCTGCCTTCAATCCTTTTCAGCTTCTGGGAATTTTGCTCCACGCGGTAACAAACAGGGTCGGGGAAGTTCGGTTTTTTACCATAGAGCGTTGCAGACATGTGTGGCCATTCTCGGCCCTCGTGGGCCTCCCAAGAGGTCTCCATATAGTGTCTGCACGCATCTGGCGTCCTCTGGGGACCTCTGGACACGGCTGCGGATCTTCAAGACGGTACCTTGTGAACCGTTATTAGGTTCATTGTCTAATTCTCCCCGGAAGTGTTTTTGCAGTGGCGAGGCGGGCTTCTTTGAATTTCAGTTCTGAGCTATCGTTGGAAGTGTTCGAGGATATCAGTTTCAGGGCGAAGCGATGGCCCCGCCATAATAGCACGTCTGCTGGTAAGAAGGAGACACCTTGTGTTCTACAGTGACAAGGGGTTCTGAAGGATAATTGCGGAACGAAGACCGACATAAACATAAAAACTCTGAGGTCCGTGCGGATTTCTCGGATCGGTGTTGGGGCCCCCTCCATGGCGCGCGATGCGCGCCAGGGGCGGCGCTGGAGGCTCTCCTTCACCTCCTGCTGCAGCTGCCTAGTGCTCCTGCCCCTGCTCCTGCTTGCGCTCCTCGTTCTCCTCGTCCTCCTCCAGACGTGGCTGCACATCCTGTCGTTGTCCTCACTCGTCGTCCTCCTCCTCCTCCTCCCTCCCTCCCCCCCTGCCTCCCTGAGTCTTCCCTCTCTCCCTCCCTGCTCCTCCTCCTCCTCCTCCTCATCCTCATCCTCCATCTCCACCTCCACCTCCACCTCCACCTCCACCACCTCCTCATCCTCCTCCTCCTCCTCACTCTTCATCCTCGTCGAGCTAGGAGGAGAAGGAGGAGGACGAGCTTGTCGTCCTCTGGTTCCTCATCCTCGCCGCCCTGACCCCACTCCTCGCTTCTCTCCTGCCTCCTCCCCCTCACCGCCACGGCGTGTGCCACCCCCCCCTTTCGTGGCGCTCCTCCCGGGGAAAGACGTCAGACTCGAGTTCGCTGGAACTCGGGCTTTGCCCACGCTCTTGGACGGGCCCGTCCTGCGTGTTAACGGCCCAGTTTTGTCGGGAGGCTCCCAGCGCGAGCTCGCGTCGAATTCCAGACTGGGTCTCGTCGTTTCTCGAACGGCCGCGGCAGGCCAGGTTGTGCCCTCCAAGCTCGAGTCCTGCGTCTCCCCGATCCTCCCTCCGTCGCCGCGGCCTTGCCTGCTCGAGCTGCCTTGGTCCCCAGGGGCCAGTACGTTATCCTTCGTGACCTGACTCTGTGACGATGGCCCCGCTCCGAGCCGCCGCCGCCACCCTGTCGCTGCTCGCGACGGGCGCCCGAGGGCTGGCCAGGAGCGAGGGGGGGACGAAGATGAGGAGGAGAAAAAACCCAGACACAATTTATCGTCGATTGCACAAGAACATATGGGAAACTATGGGAAGTGGAAGGGAAGGCAATAATCCAGAATATATAGGAAAAATTGGGGAATCCTGTTCTTTGTGTTTATTTATTTGTGTGTACCAGGGCCCCTTCAGAGGGGGACCCGGGAGACGAGGTCAGACAGGCCCATGGAATCCACATTTGGAGCCGGCTGGGGGTCTGAGGTGGCCCAGCACTGGTTCCAGCGAACAAGATGGGGGGGCGAGGTTCGGGGCGCTGGGTGCGGGAAGATGTGTTGCCATCTTCGGCCTCTGGGGGCCGTTTTCGGGCTCAGGGGTCATCACAAACGGATCCAGGGTGAAACACTGACCAAAAAGACCCCGGGAGGGGTCCAGGGACGGATTTTGAGCGGATTTGCCCTTTTCCCGTCTTCTTGACTGATCTTCTCGGGACGAGAACCTTGACAGGGAAAAAGCCGGCGACGGCTCCGCTTCAGCGAGGCATTGGCAAGGATGGCGCCAAGGGGGCACGCATCCCCAAACAGGGGCCATTGAGGATCTCCATGGACGCGCTTTTCAGTGTCAAAAGAAAAATGGGTTTAAGTAAGTCACAGTAGGGGTCTTGAAGAAGGAACCCTTTTCGTTGGGGAGGGGCTCCGTGTTCCTTGATTGTTTCACAGCTTGCCTCAGGTTTTCCCAAGGTTTTCGATGGGGAATCGAAGCTTAACTTATGGGACAGGAGGGGCCTCGTTCCTTATTTAGGGTTCCTTAGGTCAACGCCCCGACTGTAACTTGCATGGGATCTTGCCCCCCCCCGTCCCCTTTATGAAGCACAATGCTGAGCCGATGCGGCGTGCATTCGAGTTTCGTCGAACATGAAGTCCAGAGTTCCTGCGGGGCCTCGCCAGGCCCCCCCTTCCCCTTCCATCCTTCTCCTGGTTGCCAGGGGGAGAAGGATTGGGAGGAGGAGGAGGAAACATAGGTGGAGGAAGGGAAAGAAGAGAGGAAGGGGAGGAGCATGAAGAGGAGTTTCCTGTTGCTCCTCCTCCTGTTCCTTCCTCTCCTTCTGCGGCTGTCGCCCCCATCCAGGTCGTCCTCTCCGTCCCTTGCTGCTGCTGCCCCTCGTCGGGGAGGGGTGGAAGGAGGAACAAGATGAGGAAGCGGATGAGAGAGGGGGGAGGACATGCTATGTGCGCTCGCGTCATTTCTGACTTCCTACCCCTCCCTCCCATCCCTTCCCATGGCGTAGATATTCTCTCTATTCGCACCGTCGGATGTCGAGCAGGGCAACGATCGCGAGAGTGCACGCGATGCATGGTAGAGCACAGCATGGCATGATGTAGAAGAGCACGACAGAGCGTAGCATGCCATAGCATGGCGTGGTGTTGCGCAGTGGAGCATTGCATCAAAAAGCATTGCACCACGAATCATGGCATCGCACAGCGGCACAGAACACAACACCACACAGCATGTCATGGCATGGCGCCAGGTTCCTTGGAAAGTAAGTGGATCGGCTTCGAGAGGTCTGGGTCGGTGTGGAGCCGTGGCTCCATGTCTAGCTCCTTGGGCTCCCCGAAAAGCTCCACACAAGGCGGGGATGATGGAGAGCACCCGCTGGCTTGGCTTTCAGCATCGCCTTCTCGAAGCAGAAGGGGGGCTCCCACTTGATACTTCCTGAAAACGACGATGCCCCAAAGTGGGGGGTTCCGCGGCCAAAAAAAAATCAACGGATCGACACCGAATGCGGAATCACTTCCGATGGTTGTTTTGGGGGGGCATTTTCTAAATTTTGGGGCCTGTTTAGAAGGAAGGTCAGCGCTGCAGCGGGAACACGATTCGGAACGAGCGGGAGCGCGGACAAGAGGCCAGCGCTGCAGCGGGAGCACGATTCGGAACGAGCGGAAGCCCGAAAATGAGGTCAGCGCTTCAGCGGGAACAGCAACATTTTGAAAACAGCCCAAGCGAACATCCAGTTCCTGGGAATCTTGGACGTCAGCAGGGGAGAGAGGAGAGTAGTAGTCATACTGTGTAATTGTGGTGGAGGAGGAGGAGAAGGAGGAGCAGCAGGAGCAGGAGCAGGAGCAAGAGCAGAAGGAACAGCATGAGCGCTGAATGTGGATTCCCAGTGCTGCTGCTGCTGGTGCTGCCCAATGTGCACATGGCGGAAGGATGGGGAGGAGGAGCAGGAGGAGGAGGAGGAGCAGGAGGAGGAGCAGGAGGAGGAGGAGGAAGGGGAGGAGAAGGAGGGGATTGAGTAGGAAGAGGAGGAGCAGCAGGAGGAGGAACATAAGAGGGTGAGGAGAGAGCTGGACAAGTAATAGCATAAAGAGGGAGAGAGAGAGAGAGAGAGCGCGAGATAGAGAGAACGAGACAGAGAGGGAGAGAGAGAGAGAGAGAAAGAGAGAGAGAGAGAAATAAAGAGAGAGAGAGAGAGAGAGAGAGAGTGATAACCCGGGAGGAAGAGAGAGAGAGAGAGAGAGGGAGGGAGGGAGAGAGGGACATATAAATACATACAGAGATAACAATCAACAAACAAACATATGGATGATAAGAGAGAGAGAGAGAGAAGAGTGGGAGGGGAAGGACGGCGGAGAAAAGAAGGGGGGAGCAGCAGGAGCCGCAGAATGAGAAGCGCAGCGCATGGAGGGGGAGGGGGGCAAAGGGGGGAGCAGAAGCGGTCGGCAGCAGAGGCAGGGACGGAGCCAGAGGAGGGCAGGGAGGAAGGACCAGAGGGCAGGGCTCGTTTCGATTCCTTCGATTCGATTCGACTTGGGATTCCGATTTCTTATTGGAGGCGTACTAGCCTGCCAATTTCAGCCGATTCGACTTTTCCCGACTCGGCTGTCTATGTCCGCCGATCCGATTCATTTCGACCGCCGATCCGACTCATCGATCCGATTCTGGGCCCTCCTGAGAGGGAGGACCCGGCCGCAGGGAGCAGGCGGAGAGGAAGGGCCAGGGGGGGCCAGGGGGGAGCCGCATAAGGAGAAGCGCAGCGCATGGAGGGGGAGGGAGCTGGAGGAGGGCAGGGACGGAGCTGGAGGAGGGCAGGGAGGAAGGACCGGAGGGAGGCACCCGGCCGCAGGGAGCAGGCGGAGAGGAAGGGGCCAGACCTCCGAGGCCCGCCCTGCTCTTGTCGGCACGTGGGGAGTCCGCGCCGTGGGCCGAGGCCGCCGGGCCTCCTCCACCACGGGCCTCGGAGGCCCAGACAAGCCAGCCAGCCAGCCAGCCAGCCAGCCAGGAGGAGGAGGAGGAGGAGGAGGAGGAGGAGGAGGAGGACCTCCTCCCCCTCCCCTCTCGAAGCCCCCGACGCCACGGCTGAGGCGGGCAGCGGCGCGCGGGCGACGGCGACGGCGAAGGCGACGGCGACGGCGACGACGACGACGTCGACGACGACGGCGACGGCGACGACGACGACGAGGACGACGACGATCCTCGCGACGAGCGCCAGGATCGACGGCGACGCTGGCGCGGTCATCGCCAGGGCCGACGGCGACGCCGGCTCGGACTGGTGGCCCTTTGGCCACAAGGCCGCGCAGGGCGGGGGTGCGCGCAGAAGGGTCGCAGGCGAGGGGGGAAGGAGGGAGGAGTCTCCTCGTCCGCATCGCGCCTCCCCGTCGTCCAAGGCAGGCTCAACCACTCGGCAGGGCGAGGGCCCGACCTGCTCTCCAGCTGATAGCACTGCGCTTGGCCTCCCGCCGCGGGGTTGCCTCCTCTCGCTCCTCTGGGCCCCCTCCTCTCGCCTCCCTGCGCGCTGGGACCGCTGTGCTCCGCAAGGCTGCGGCCACCATCTCGGATTAAGTCGGGCCTGTCCCTCTACAGGGGGAATCTTCAAAAACTGTCAACAAATAGTATGGAAGCCATGTTTTGATTCTGTTTGACTACTTGGGTGTTGTTTTTTGGGGGGGCATTTTTAATTTTTTCGCCCAACATCTCCCTGTAGGGGGACAGGCCCGACCTAAATCTAGGAGCTGCAGGCCCGCTGGCAGCCCCCACAGGCCCACGAACCGCGGAGCGGCATCAGGGCTTCTGGCCAGGCGCCGACATCCCCCCTGCCTGCCGCTGGCCAGGCCACTGCCCTGGCCGAGCTTGCCCAGCTGGATGCCGTCATCCCCGGAGTGGGCGCAGAGGCCAGCGACGATCGGACGGGTGGTCATGGGGGGTGACCCACAGGGGGGGTAGAGAGAAGGACCCCAGAGGGGCCTCGAGTATGGGCTCCCTTTGGGCCCCTGCTGGCTCCACAAGGGGCTCTCCAGGGCCCCTGCTTGGGGCCACTGTCTTCACCCTCTGTGCAGGTCACCTCCCAGTAGTTCCACTCACCCGAGACGATGCTGTGCCATGCCGCAGCCCAGCTTCCGCCTGGGCCCCGACCCGCGCGACGGGCCCCCCAGCGCCCCAGCTGGACGGCCCCGGCTCTGCGCCTCGGGCTGTGGGCCGCCGCCCTCCCTGATGGCAGCTGCGCCCCCTGTGCCTGGTGCCGTGAGCCCCGCAGCCCCGCCCGCCCGCATCGCCGCTGCTGCCGCGCGACCCTCCCGCTCGTCGCCCTCGCGCCAGCGCGCTGACCCAGATCGCCGACGGCATGATTCTTCCACTCCTGGCGAGTTGCCTCGAGTTCGGCCTCCGGGGGCTGTTCCCGGGCCCCGGGACGATCGAAAACGGAGCCGTGGCGCGAAGCTTCCCCCCGGGGGAGGGGGCGGGACCTGAGGCCGCCGATGGACAAAGATCACACCGGAGGGTGTCAGGGGACGCCGGGGGCCAGGCAGCCTGGTCCCCCTGCCGTCCCTGGCCCGTGGCCTCGCCGCGAACGCCAACAGGCGGCGGCGCCCCGGATGGGGTCGGAGCAGGTGGTGTCGGAGGATCGCGCCGCGTTGCCGATGCATCGGGGATGCGGCTCGATTTTGTCCACGCCGGCGTCGCCGATGCGGTGCGATCCTCCGACCCCATCTGCTCGGACATCATCTACAGGAGGCCTCTACAGGCGGCGGCGCCCCTCTCTCCGCCGCCATCCCACCAGGTACGCCTCGCATCGGGCCGCTCACCCCTCCCAGCCAGCACCGCGTTCCCGGCTTGCCGCGGCTTCTCCCCGCGGGCAGTCGCGCGCCCAGGCCCTGCCGGGAGGCCGCCAAGGCAGACGCGCCCGCAGCCGTGTGGCCCTTTGCGCGCGCAGGCGCGCCCAGGAGGTCCGAGAGCGCACCGGGCACCACCTCGGAAGACAAGGGTGCGTCACCCGCCAATGAGCCCCATCTCCAGGCAGTCTGACAAGGACAAGCGCGTTGCACTTCTCGTGAAGTAACTGCTCGCAAACGGCCTGCATCCGCCGCGAAGAGTTTGCGATCCACTACATCGAGGAAGACATGTGTGTGTGTATTTGTCAGACGTTTTCGAGTAGGCACTGTGCGAGTAGTGGAACGCGCTCGGTGATGATTTCAGGGTCAGAGACGGTCGAAAAGAGAAGACAGCCCTTCCCAAGGCCCCCCCCCCCCTGCGTGACCGAATCCTCTTTCGCTGCCATACCGTGTCCACGCCGGGCGCCGCGGCCCCTGTCGGAAGAGGGGGTGCCGCGCCCCCCCGGGCGGGGCGGCTCCACGAGCCGCGGCGGCCTGTGCGCATCGGTCACGGGGGCGCTGTCCTCTCGCCGCCCGGCCCTCTCCTGCCCTTTCTTCCGCCCTCTCCTCCTCGCCCTCCTCGTCCTCATCTGTCATCTGGTTCCTATCCTCCGTCCTCTCCTCCCTCCCAACCTCCTCGTCGGGTCCCCCATCGTCCCTCTTCCTCCCCCTCAGCAGTCACACCATCATTATCACATGGCTCCCGTTCCAATGATGTCGCGTTTGCCTGGCAAGAGCTATCTCGCAAATGGATTGTAACGCACCATGGGCTCGTGCTTTCGGTGTGCTGTTCAGTTTGACTCCCTCCTTTGTTTCAAGAGTGGTGCGTCTGCCGCATGCCATGACCATCGAAGAGCCTCCGTCAAAACGGAACGGCTGTTGCCGTAGCAATAGCAACGGTGTTTTTATGTTTGCGTACATTCAGAACGTTTGTTGCGTTCGACCAGTGGTGATCTGACTGGTGCGTTTGCCACATCCAAGTCTCAGCAGGTAGCCTCCGTCCAACGGAACGACCTTGTCGCCGCAGGTGTGGCAGAATCAGTGTTACATTCGAACGGACGCCTAAGACCGAGGTCGGTTCGGGGAGGGTGCTCTGATGTTTTTTGTGTTTGTTTGCTGTTTGTTGTGCACCCTGGGGAGGGTACTCTTCGATGTTCTGTGTTTTTGGACCGGAGGAGGGTCTCGTGTTCTTGGGGGAGGTTCTGCTGGTCGGGGTCCGACTGCAGCGATGCTCCCGCTCCATGGCTTGCCACACGTCCTGGTGGTCCGTCGGCTTGCAACTGGGCGGCGCTCGCGCCGCAGCGCTGGCCGCAGCCCTGCATCGGCAGGCGTGGGGCCCCCCCCAAATGTCAAGGGAGGAAAAACCACCGGGACCCGACACTTAACGTTCCTGCCCTGTTCGATTCCTTCCTTGTGTGCGTTGACGAAACGTGTTCGCTTGTCGGGGTGATTCTTTTGGGGGTGGATTTTCTGCCCTCTACAAGGCCCCCTGTCCACTGGAACGGCGTCTTCGCCGAGGCGCTGGGCGCTCCCCCTGCTTCCACATGTGCGCTGTGTCTCCTCCTGGGTGTGGCTCGTGGGTGCCGTGCTTTGTTGAGCGTGAAAACGCGCGTCGAGAAAGACTGTGGGGGTCAAACATGTTCCCTACAATTGCTCCTGCGCGCAGAGAAGGGCTTCAACGAAATGAAAACGATGCGGGGAGGAGTATGGTAGGTTCGGGTCGTGTCGACCGGCGGCGACCCCGCCGTGGGCGTTCAATGTTGAACGCTGGCGGCAATCCAGTATCGGTCGATGTTGAACGATCTGACCTTCCGGAACCGGCCGATCGTTCAAGATTGAATGATCCCCACGGTGTCAGAGACCAGCGCCGAAGTCGGCACGACACGAATCTGCGGTAGGGCGTCATATATGGCGCGAACGCGCCAAGCTTGTCGTCATCCCCCTCTCCCATGTCCTCCTCCTCCCCCTTCAATCCCCGTCCGTGCGAATGGTGCTTCCTCGTCGCACCACCAGACGTGTCCGTAGGACGGGCCAAGCGTTCCGCCCTTAACTCTCTCGTCGGTTCTGAACATGGCGAAGGTTTGTCCTCCTCCTCCTCCTCCTCCTCCTCCTCCTCCTCCTCCTCCTCTTCCTCCTTCGTCCAGGAAACAAGCGACACCACCCCACATACGGCCCTCCATGTTGGGCTGCGGCCCATCGAGGGCTGCGGCGCATACCACGCAGAAGCCCATGCCAGATGTTCTGGTATACGCTAAGCCCCCTGGGGCCGCAGATGGGGTGTTGTCGTTTGTTTTCTGGCCACTCCTGCCCTACACATATGTGCGTGTGTGTATATATGTATATGTGTGGTTGGGTATATATATATATATATAAACATAGATGTTGGTGCACTTAACTGTAGATCTATACAATATGTACGTCTGTGTGTTTGTGTGTGTCAGTGTATCCTGCCCCTCCGCTTGTCCTCCCCCTTGTTCCCACTGTCTCCTCTTGGAGGAGCGGGGAGGACTTGGGCGACCCCCCCCGGCCGAAGGCTGCGACCCTGGGCGCGCCTGCCAAGAACGTCACAGTCATCCTGAACGGCGAGCCGAAGTCGGGCACCACGTGGCTGGAGTACGTCGCCAAGGATCTCCCCGCCGGAGGAGGAGGAGGAGGAGGAGGAGGAGGAGGAGGAGAACGAGGAGGAGGAGTAAGAGGGGAGGGAAGGAGTGAGAGAAGAGGGGAGGGTGGAGGGAGGTGGGAGAGAGGGATGAGGGAAGGAGAGACAAGGAGGACAATGAGGAGGAGGAGGAGGAGCAGGAGGAGGAGGGGGAGGAGGAGGAGAAGGAGAAGGTGGATTGGAAGGGGGCGTTCGTTTCGGCGCTGGGGAGGAGGGGGAGGGCGAAGGAGGGAGAGTAGGAGGAGTGGGAGGAGGGTGGAGCGAGGGAGAAGCGAGGGAGGAGGAGGAGGGGGAGGAAAATGATGAGCATTGAAGGGGGTTGCGCTTCGGCACTGGTGGCGGTGGAAGTGGTAGCGCTAATTGGTGGGCAAGGAGCCAACGCGACGGAGAAGAAGATGGGGCAGATAGAGGGAAGAGGGATCTGTGAGGAAGAGAGGAGAGGCACGGAGGAAGGAACCATGAAGGATAAAGAGCACTGATAGAGGGTGCCAAGGGCATCCGCCAAGGGTGCCCGCTCTCCCCGCTGCTTTTTGCAGTCGCTGCAGATCTCCTGCTTCGCCGATTGGGCCGGCTTCTCCCCTCAGCGGACCTGAGGGCGTACGCGGACGACTTCGCCTTGGTCTCCTGGTCTGGCATCGGCGATTTGAGCGTCACGGAACCCATTTTCGATGCGAATGCCTTCCTGTCCGGCCTCCACCTGCACCAGGGGAAAGCACATGAAGCAACTCGACGATTTCAGGGCTCGGCTCGCGCGGGCTGCACCATCGTGGGGAGGAGCGCGGCTTGCGACTTCGGCGGAATACCTGGGCTTCGTACTTGATCCACTCAGAGGCGCGACTTCCTGGGACAAGCCTCTTCAGAAATTTGGGAGCCAGGCAGCAGCCTGGGAGAAGGTGGGCTGCGGACTCCAGCTGACGCGTCTCGCATACAGAACCTACACATTCTCGACTGTGCTGTTCGTTGCCCAGCCGGATTCCCCGCCCCCACAGTGGGCCAACGCGGAGCGGCTAGCTGCAACCAGGCTGTTCCCCAGGCCGCGATGCTGGGCGTCGGCCCGGGCTGTGCGGGCGCTGAAGTGCATGGGCTTCCAGGGAGGGCTCCTCTATTTGGACATGGATTCCTTGGCAGCTAAGCCCAGGGTGGCGACGTCTGAGAACAGGATGCGTGGAGGCTTAGGAGGATGCGAGGCTTGCGTACGTGCTTATTGCATCGCCTCACTACTGTGTGCGCTCAACGTTCAGAGTGCCAAGTGTGTCCACCAGCCTTACCCGAGTGTGATTTCCAGCGCTCATGGAGGAACAAAACACAAGGATGCGTGGAGGCTTATACTTTCACAGCCGTGCTCGCGCCCCGCGCAGCGCCCTGTGCGCGTGCGGCGAGCTTCCGCGAAGGCTGTCCACGACGCCCTGGTTCGGGCCCGCCTTCATCCTGCAGCTGGACGCCGCCAGGGATCACCTCGAGCGCGCGGGGTTGTCGCCGCCGCGAGTCCAGGGGCGCATCTCAGGGCGCGCGGACCTGCCGCCTTCAGAGCGGGAGCTTACGCTGCGCCGCCTGTGGCCTCGGATCAGCCCGCCCATGCTGCCCTGCACCAGTTCATGCAAATGCGTCTGGCGCGTTGTGATGTGTCTCTGTCTGAACGGGTTCGAGCAGAGAGAGCTTCGATGACACTCCCATCCCTCAGCCAGGTGCTCCCGGCCCAGATTCGCGCAGCTTTTGTCCAGACCTGGTGGAAAGGCTGGGTCACGCGACGCCGTTTTCAAAAAAGGAGTCCAGGGTGCAAATCTGGTTGCGAGCGAGTACAGCATCGAGCACTACGCCTACTGCCCGGTGGTCCGGGAGTTCTGGTTCCTGGTTTTGCACATTGGAGGCGTCCATCGGCAACGGGGTCATGGACGATTTCCCATTTATTCGGCGGGTGCTCGTGACGTCTTGGTGCGGAAAGCGGTCCGGCTTGCAATTGTGTATCTCGCGCGCGGCTGGTGTAGACATTGACTCGCGAGCTCTTGCGCGGGAGCGGCGCCGCCATGAGCTGCTTTGCTCGAGCGTGGACCCCGCAGCAGTAGTCTTAAGTCGGGCGGGTCCCTCTACAGGAGGAAGATTCATACTCAAAAAACAGTCTGGGGACGATTGTTTGGCTGTTTTTATTTTTTTCCTTCAAGATACGCCTGTAGGGGGACATGCCCGACCTAACACTAGTCTGCGTTCCTCTCCTCTCCTCCTCTTCCTCCTGCCGCTGCTGCCGCCGCCTCCTCTCCCCTGCCTCGCCCCCGCGCGGCCCCTCGGCCTCCTCTCTGGCTGGAGGGCAGTCCCAGGCGCCGCGCCGCACGAGGCGGCCCCTGCGCAAAACGAGGGCGCGATTTGCGCGCCCTGTGCGGCACGGTCCAGCGGCTTCTGCCCGTGGACACGTTGGAGGCCTTCGCTTGCTAGTAGACGATTCGGGGGCGCAGTCTTGGGTTTTTCACTGTTCGCTTTTGGCCGAAAACGCGTTTCAAGTTCGCCACCGTGTTTGCGTCAGCTCAGGCGGGGGTCTGCGTGGCAACTCGCGGCTCTGGCGCCACTTTGCGTCATTCAACCAGGTCCCGTCACCCTTCTTTGCCCGCCTCCTCCCCCCCTCCTCTTCCTGGTCAGGATGCGTCCCACGGCGGGCACAGAGGGACCATTTTGAGTGAATTGTTTGTTTTGACTTCCTTGGCGCGCGCTGGCAGTCCAGACCGTTACGGCGTGTGCCCAGTGAGGCTTGGTCTGTGGCTTCACATTCGCCCACCAGCGCTCATCATCCGCAGCGGTCCGCTTCCTACTCTTCCAACAAAAAAAGAGAGGGATTTGGAAGGAAGAGTGAAAGTTGCAGGGAGGTAGTGGGGAGACGGAATGGGGGACAACTTTCTTGTACGACTCCCGTAGCAATCGACCCCCTCAATATCCTAGGGACCTCTCTCCCCTGGAGGAAACGGAGGAAGAGCTGGAGCCTTCCCCCTTCTCATCACCCTCATCTTCTGCTGCGAAGGAAGGAGGGACAGAGGAAGGGAGGAAGAGAGGGAGGGAAGAGGGAGGAGGAGGAGGAGGAGGATGAGATGGAGGAGGAGGAGGAGGAGAAAGAGGAGGAGGAGGAGGAGGAGGAGGAGGAGGAGGAGGCGGATGAGGAGGAGGAGGTGGAGGAGGAGGAGGAGGTAGGGGGAGAAGGCAGGAGGAGGAGGGAGATGAGGAGGGAAGCATATTCGAAGGATGGGCCGCTAAGGAAATCCTCACCGAGGTGTGCGCGAAGGAGTCTGGCTGCCAGCTGCTCAAGGGTGCGAATGGCCGAGACCTCGTCGCGCACCGGGGATCCGGGTCGGTCGCGTACGACATGGACACCAAGCACGAGATTCCCAACGTGGGACACGGGGGATGAAAAGAGGAGGCTCGTAGGAGGAGGAAGGAGGACGAGGAAGAGGAACGTAGTAGCGGAGCCTGGTGATTTTGTTTTTGTGGATGTTGATGATGATGAAGCTGATGATGAAGATGATGATGCTGCTGATGATGATGATGGTGATGATGGTGATGGTGATGGTGATAATGATGATGATGATGATGATGATGATGATGATGATGATGATGGTGATGGTGATGGTGATGATGATGATGATGCGGATGATGATGCTAGCGCTGAGGATGAGGATGATGATGGTGATTATGGTGGTGATGATGATACTCTTTGTTCTGATGTGGTCATGCTGCTGGTGATGATAGTTGTTATGATGATGGTGATGGCCATGGTCACATTCATGGTGATTATGGTGATGTTGCTGATGAAGATGATCATGACATGTTGCTTCTGATGATGATGATGATGCTGATCATGATGGTGATGGTGATACTGCGGAGGATGATTACCAGGACGATGGATCTGATGTTGATTATGATGTTGATTGAGACGATGACGATGGTGCTGCTGCTTCTGATAATGATACTGACGATGACGGTGCTGATGATGATGGTGGTGGTGACGCTGACGCTGATGCTCATGATGATGATTATGCTGCTGATGATGATGATGATGATGATGATGATGATGATGATGATGATGATGATGATGATGATGATGATGATGATGATGATGATGATGATGAGAGTGATGATTATGCTGCAGCTGATGATGCTGATGCTACTTCTGATGCTGATGCTGATGCTCAGAATCCCCTGACTGTGTGCAGTCCTTGGAGGGTGTGCGTCGCCACGAGTAGATCTGCCTCCTCCTCCTCCTCCTCCTCCTCCTCCTCCTCCTCCTCCTCCAGATCTTGGTCACTGGGCTGCTCGGGGGGCCTGTTGAGGCCATCCAGGACCACCTCGGGGGGCTGTCGGCGCGCAACCCGAAGCCTTACCAGGCAGGAGGGAAAAAACACACAGACACAATTCATCGTCGATTCCCCAGAAAACATGGGAAAATATGGGAAGTGAGGGGGAAGACAAAAACCGAGAAAATATAGGAAAATATGGGGGGATATTTTTGTTTGTGTGTATTTATTTGTGTGTCCTCGGGCCCCTTCATACCAGGCAGGCAGCAGTAGCCACCAATGCACGAGCCACCAAGTCGTTCATCTCCAGGTGGTGGTGGTGGGGGCCTCATCCCACGACGCTCTGTTTTTGTTCACGCAGTGGGCCCCTGGAGGTCTCGACCCCTTCCTCAGGGACGCCGTTTCATCGCGAGTAGCTTTCTGATGGTCCAGGGACGGGCGATGGCCCCAGGATGCCGGAAACATCAACACATGAAACAACATCCGTCGTGGTTTCTTCGGGGTTGCACATCTGCTGCGCTGCCCCCCTTTCAGGACACAAGAACGCGTTCGACTTCTCCATCGCCCCGTCCATGACCGACGAGCAGGTGAAGGCGGCGGCGAAGGCCACGCTTGACGGAGCCGCGGAGAGCGCGAAGTGGCTCGTCATCTTCCGCGATCCCCGCGACGTCACCAGAGGGGCCAGCACATCCAGGAGGTGAGCCAATACCACTCGCGTCGTGACAAAACAGCACGACACACGTTATGGTGCGTTTAGCTGTTGCTGTTGTTGTTGTTGTTGCTGCTGCTGCTGCTGCTGTTGTTGTTGTTGTTGTTGTTGTTGTTGTTGTTGTTGTTGTTGTTGTTGTTCCAAGCCATCCCGTGGTGTTGGGTCCTCGTATTGAAGAGACAGCGCCCCGCGTCACTCCTCCCGCTACCCCCTCCCTCCTCCTCTCATCATCATCATCGTCATCACCCGTTTCAGCACAGCCCTCACACGTTTCGTGGCCCCATAGAGCTCCACCGAAGGTCCCAGCGGCGCAGTTCGCATGGCGACGCCGCCCCATTGTTTGCACACTCCTCACACGTCTCGTGGCCCTATGGGGAGCTCCACTTAACATCCCAGTGGTGCAGTATGGCGGCGCCGCCCCGCCCCAGTTTGGCCCACCCATCACACGTTTCGTGGGCCCATAGGGAGCTCCACTTAAGGCCCCAGTGGCGCAGTTCGCATGGCGGCGCCGCCCCATTTTGGCCCACCCATCACACGTTTCGTGGGCCCACATGGAGCTCCACCTAAGGACCCACTGGCGCAGTTCGCATGGCGGCGCCGCCCCATTGTGGCACTCTCCTCACACGTTTCGTGGCCCCACACGGCGTTTCGTGTCCCCACACGGAGCTCCATCTAAGGTCCCAGTGGCGCAGTTCGCATGGCGGCGCCGCCCCATTTTGGCATTCCCTTTACACGCTTCGTGGCTCCATAGGGAGCTCCAGCTAAGGTCCCAGTGGCGCAGTTCGCATGGCGGCGCCGCCCCATTTCGGTATACCTCTCCCACGTTCTGTGGCCCCATAGGGGATTCCAGCTAAGGTCCCATTGGCTTAGTTTGCATGGCGGCGCCACCTCATCTCGGCACACCCCTCACACGTTTCGTGGCCCCATAGGGAGCTCCACCGAAGGTCCTAATGGCGCAGTCCGCATGGCTGCGCCGCCCCATTGTGGCACACCCCTCATACGTTGCGCGGCCCCATAGGGAGGTCCGTCTAAGGTCCGGTTCGCATTGTGGCGCAGTCCGCTTGGCGGCGCCGCCCCATTTTGGCACATCCCTCACACATTTCATGGCCTTATAGGGAGCTCCACCCAAGGTCGCAGTGGCGCAGTCCGCATGGCGGCGCCGCGCGCCCTTCGCACGCTTCGTGTCCCCATAGGGGGCTCCACCTAAGGTCCATGGCGCAGTCCGCTTGGCGGCGCCGCCCCAATGTGGCACACACCTCACACGTTCCGTGGCCGCATGGGGAGCTCCACCTAATGTCCCAGTGGCGCAGTTCGCATGGCGGCGACGCCCCATTTTGGCACACCCCATCACACGCTTCGTGGCCCCATAAAAGGGGGCTGTACATCAGGCCCCAGTAGCGACGCCCGCATGGCGGCCCCGCCCCATTGCTGCACATTCTTCACGCGCTTCGTGGCCCCATAAGGCGATCCACCGAAGGCGATACTGACAACGACGGTATTCACGACTGCACATGCTTGGGTCCTTCGCCAAGCTTTTTGTTCCAAACCATCCTGTGTCTTGGGCCTTCGTTTTGAAGAGACGGTCCCCGCGTCCTTCCTCTCCTCTTCTCCTCTCCTCCTCCTTTCCTCCCCCTCCTCCTTCCCCCTCCTCTCTCCTCTCGTCACCCTGTCATCTTGGCACACCCCTCACACGCTTCGTGACACCATAGGGATCTCCACCTAAGGTCCCAGTGGCGCAGTTCGCATGGCGGCATCGCCCCATTTTTGCACACTCCTCACACGTCTCGTGGCCCGATGGGGAGCTCCACTTAACGTCCCAGTGGTGCAGTTCGCATTGCGGCGCCGCCCCGCCCCATATAGCCCACCCATCACACGCTTCGTGGGCCCATAGGGAACTCCACTTAAGGCCCCAGTGGCGCAGTTCGCATGGCGGCGCCGCCCAATTGTGGCAAGCCCCTCACACGCTTCGTGGCCCCATAGGGAGCTCCACCTAAGCACCCCATGGCGCAGTTCGCATGGAGGCGCCGCCCCATTGTGGCACACCCTTTGCACGTTTCGTGGCCGCACAGGGAGCTCCACCTAAGGTTCCAGTGGCGCGGTTCGCATGGCGGCGCCGCCCCATGTCGACACACCCTTCATGTTTTCATGGCCCCAGGTCCCAGTGGCGCAGTTCGCGTGGCAGCGCCTCCCCAGCTTGGCACACCGTTACATGTTTCGTGGCTCCATAGGGAGCTCCACCGAAGGACCCATTGGGTGTGCCCGCATGCAGGAACGTCCCTCCGGGGCAGTCTACGGCCGAACCGACTAGGCGCGAGCGGTCCGCAGCCAGACCTTCTTTCGGTCCTGTGGACTCTCGCCTTGGGCCGTCGGCTGTCCGGCGCGCTGCCCCCTTGGTCGACGTCGCCCAGGCGTGATCCTGGACTGCGGCCGTCACGAGGTCGGGAACGGCGAGAAAGAGGACGACGACTGGTGGCTGGAGCTCTACGCGCTGCTCTCGCGCGCCACCCGCCACGAGGACGTCCTGCTCATGCGGGCGCCGCGCATCGAGTTCTTCCTGGCAGGGCCGCCGGAGGGCTTGCGGAAGCAGCTGGAGCAGTTTGCGGCGCGCGCGAAGCGGCGCAAAAAGGAGGCGATGGCCCTCGCCAGAGAGCTGGGCTTCACTGAGTTTATCCGCGAGGCTTGACCTGAGGCGCGGCCCGCCCGAGCCGCGCCTTCTCTCGACTGCCGAACTGTCTGGCCTCGCTCCGCGGTCGACCCGCGCGCGTCGCTGGGGCCCTCTCGGGGCGACCTGCGCGCGTCTCGGGAACTCCGCGCGGCGCTCTGCCCGGCGGCCAGATCCTTGCCCGCCAACGGCCAGCCAGGTAGCCCTCTTTGCATCGCGCCGCGGACGACCCGCGCGCGTCGCCGGGGCCCTCTCGAGGCGACCTGCGCGAAACGCGGGAACTCCGCGCGGCGCTCTGCCCGGTGCCTCGCGCGCCCGTCGTCGCTCTGCCCAGCGACCAGACACTTGCCCTCCATCAGTCCGCCAGCTAGCTCTCTCTCTGCTCCGCGCAGCGGACGACCCGCGCGCGTCGCTGGGGCCCCTTCGGGGCGACCCCGCGCGCGCGCGCGCGAGTCGCGGGGATTCGGCGCTGCGCCGCGCTTGCAGCCTCGGACCTTGGAGCGAATGGGCGAAGGGGGAAAAAAAAGGGGGGAGCGGGCGCGATCCTCGCGAGGGGCGCGTCGACACGGGCGTCGCGGCGCGCGGGCGCCGCCGTCGGGGTTGCCGGGGGCGCCCCCTGTGGCAGCCGCGGTCTGCGCCACGAGCACTCGGAGCCGAGCGTACCCAAACCGGTCACATTCATATACATTTACGCTAGGTGTAGCTACGCTCGCATTCGCGCAAACAGACTCAGTCGCACGCAGACTCATCCACAATCAGATTCACATTCGCGCTCAGACTCACCCGCGCTCAGTCTCTCGTATTCAGACCTATCGTCCTCGCTCGTGTTGTGTACCCCGCCACGAATGTCGGCGCGCCCCTCATGCGGTTCGTGGCCCCACAGTGGGCGCCACCGAAGACGACATTCACAATTGCGATATTCACACATGCATATGGCTGGGTCACTTGCCAGTTTAATGTTTGTTGTTGTCGGTGTTGTGGTTGTTTATGTTGCTGTTGTTGTTGAGCTCTAATCTTCAAAGAAGAATTATTGTTGATCTGCCCCCGTCCAGTGCCCATTGTGTTCTGGCAATTGAAGTGCCCTTCCCGGGGCTAGTATCATGTTTTGTTGTTATACCAGGGCACGTCATGAGGCTCAGGCTAGCCCCCGTGGCCCCCGAACTACAGCGACAACGGCTCCCGCCAGACATTTCGTCACAATGTATTCTAAATCGCGCTCTCGCGCGGGATGTCCGTCCTCACAATTTATTCAGGAATCGCGCTCGCGTGGGACGTCCTACCGATTCAAGTCGCCGCGCCCTCGACGCTCAGTAATCACGCTCTCGCTCAGGGCTTTACCACGATTTATGTGGGAATCGCGCTCTCGCTCGAAACCTCCCTCGCGATCCATGCAAGGCCGATGCTTCAGCGACCCGCCCGCTCCACCTGGCCGTCTGGGCCCGCCCGCCCGACCCCCAGCCAGTTTGGGTCCGCGTAGCCGATTCATTCGTCCGATTGTTTCCATGTTTCTCCCCCCCTCCTGCTGACTTCTCTGGTGATCCATCCTTTTCCCTCCCCCTTTGTCCATTCCCTCCTCCTTCCGCTCCCGTGTTTTAGTGGCTGCGCCAACTACGCGTTGCAGGTAAGTGAGATAGCCTCACGGGGGGCACGATCGAAGACGAAGAGGGCGGGTGTCGCGGGCTCGGGAGATACATCCTGTTGGATGGCACGCAAGCAGGTAAGGGCGAACAGTTTCATTTTTCTTGCGTTATTACATTTAGAGAATGACTATTGTTGATCGATCGCTCCAGTGCCACTTGTTTATTATCAACTGGAGTGCCCCTCCCGGGGCCGCACCCTAGTCTTTTGCAACGGCAAGTCTTGAGCCTCAGAAAGGACTGTTGGCTCCCAGTTTACGGCAACAGCGGCTTCCGCCTGATATTTTCCTACAGTTTGTTCAGCATCGCACACTCGCGTGGGATTTCTTCACATGTGCATACTAATCGCGCTTCCCTCGCAATTGATCGAGACGCCGTGCCCTCGATATCAGGATATCAGGAGTCGCGCTCGCGCACTGGGCTTCCACTATGATGTACGTCGGAATCGCGCTATCGCTCGAGACGTCCTCGCGATCCAAATGACGCGTTCCAGAAATGGTCATGCCTTCGAGGATCGAAGGAGTTGTCATATTTTCCGCCGCGGAAGGCGGCTGAACGGCGGCGGAAAGTCGGCGAAAGTAAGACATGCGCCCCCAAGTGATAACGTTTTTGGGTTCAGGATTTTTCGAAAACGAGGCCGCCTCCGCAAGCGGAAGCTCGGCGGAAGGCGGCGGAAGTGAACAACAATG